AACCTAAGCGATTTAGGCCTTGTTTGGTAATTGGCGGTTAGCTTTAGCGGATAGCGGATTGTAATAGCTGTTTTGACCAGCTGTTAGTATTGGCTGTTTTGACCAGCTGATTGATTTGTAAAAAAATATTTAATATTATTAACTTACTTATTTTTTTATATATTTAAATATTTAAAAAGCAATAATACCAATGTATTTATGTTTATTTTTTGTAATCAACAAAAGTTAAATTGATTCTTAAATTAAATTAAGGTTTAATATTATTAACTTACTTATTTTGTTATATATATAAATATTGAAAAGGAAATAAATACCAATTGTATTTATGTAATTATTTTGTATATCAACAAAAGTTAAATTGATTCTTAAATTAAATTAAGTTTTCATACTTATATAATTAAAGTATAATAATAGAAAGAATATAAATTAAAAATATAAAATGTGGTTTAATGTACTTAAATACAAATTGGTATTTGAAAATGACAACAAAATTTTCATCATTATCTTTCAAATAGCCCATTAACTAAAATTTAAAAAAAAAAATGATAGCAACAATGCATGAAATAAACGCAAGAAATTAAATGTGCTAATTAAAATTATTTTTGGTAATTAAATATTTTTATTAATTATCAATATTTTAATTACTTTTAACAATATTATAATAATTTAATATTTTTTTATTTAATCATTGCTATAATTGCTTAAATGACCAACTGATTGTGTTAACAGTTTGTAAAAGAGTATTTGGTAAAATTGGTTATTTTTAATTAGCTGTTAACATGTAAAATACTTATAAGGACATCAACATACTTTATCATTCATATTTATGTTGAGCTTATCATTATTTAAGAAATAAAAACAATTAGTTTTTTAAATATTTACCAAAGTAATTTCAAATATAATAAAAATAAATATAACACAAGGAAGGCATTCAAACGAAAATAAAGTTAAAAAAAAAAGTAAATATATTTGCATAACAATAACAACCATAATTAAAAACATAGTTTTCCATTCAAGTTGTATCAATATATTAAATATAATACTAAATATTAATAATATAAAGGAAAAACAAAAAGAAAAAAAATGGGCCCACGAAAGGCATCCATTTAACCAATTGTAATGGAAAAAGAAAAGGATCATTTTGAAGGAAAAAAAAAAGTGGTCCATTTAAATACAAACGCCAATGTGAAATGCTGGTATTTGTGTCGTTTTCAATTTAGCTTTTTTGGACGAAAAGCTGTATGAAAAAGCTATTCAACCAAACATGTATATTGGCATAATTTTAGCATTTTTGGCTCGGTCAAAACCGCTAAAACAGCAGTTTGGCCAAAACGCCAAAAAACAAACATGGCCTTAGTATAAAAAAATAGTAATTTTTATCCAAGTCATATTACAAAGCATAATATTTTGCCACAAAAGATTACAAAGTCATATTACAAAATATAATATTTTGGCACATAAGATTACAAAGAGTACGAAACTGCCACTTAAGCTTCGCGCGTTCTGAAATTATATATTAGAAAGATATAACATCACAACAAAGCTATAATAACTCACGCTAGTTCTAATATAAATAACACTAGTTCTAATATAAATAACCAGTAATGCTAAGGAGCCAACTGTTGGCTCCGTTACGGAGCCAACAACTAATGAGACAACTCCATGTGGGGTTGTCCGACATCTATCATTATATAGAAAGAATAACCATTTTTTAAAAATGGTAAGTCAAATTCTTAGTCAACATGTTTTGCATTAATTACTTGCCATTAATGGTAATAAATATTTTTTTAAAGCTTTCCCGTGCAATTAATGATTTCCTAGATTTTTGGGATGTTGTTATTTTATAATTGACCAATGCACTGATTTTGCGTTAGAAAATCTTATCCCATTAAAAAATCTTATCCTATTAAATCTTCTTAATATAACACTTATTTTATATTAAGAAATAATAATACCAATCCTTTTATAAATTAAATGTCAGCACTTATTTAATAATAATAAAAAAAAATCGGCCTCTCCAAAACTATTTTATTTAAAATCACGAATATCTTGCTCAATCAATTCTCCAAAATATAAATCCGAATTATTGTCTAATAAATTTTTTTAGGGTATCTACTATATAAAAAAGCAATTCTCCAAAATATAAGTCCGAATTATTGTCTAATAAAATTTTTTTAGTATATCTATTGTCTAATTATTTTTTTTATGGCATTTGTAATTACTAATATTTTTGCTTAAAATTATTAATGTTTGTTAGACCAACGGTTTTTTAGACTATAATATATAACAGTGGATATAACTCTAAATATATTTTTATATATAATATTATATATAATTTAAACATGTTGTTTGAGCAATTTTTTTACACATTCGTTAAAGTGTATATATATAGAGAGAGAAATGTTAACTTTAAGTGATTTTAGATATCTTTTTTATGAAATAGTTTAGAAAAAATGAGATAATTTCATATTTTTCAAGAATAATATATAATATTTTAGATACTTTTACACACTTTATATAATAGTTTAGGTATTCTTAATGTTTTAAAAATATTTAGACAAATTTTTACATATTCTCTAGATTAAAGAATTGTTTTCCTTACAAAATAATTTAGAAAACTTTTAGGTGACTTCACGCATATTTCAAAAATAATGTAAAATATTTTGAATACTTTTTAGATATGTGATATATAATTTTGTATTACAAGAGAATAAGAGTTATAAAGCATGGTAATTTTAGATATAAAATTCTATTTTATTTGTTATAACTTACATGGAAGTTATGTTTAATTATCAATATCATCTCAATGCCTTGCTTTGCTTTTTTTTACTTCGTTTCGCGAGACAATATCTCTTATTAGACTCATAATATTTTATATAATTTTAAACATATTGTTTGACAATTTTGTACACATTCTGTCTATGTATACATGTATACATACACATATACATATACATATGTTAAATATGAATAGTTTTAGACATGTTTTTTTTACAAAATAGTTTAAAAAAATTTTAGATACCTCCACATCTTTCAATAATGATATTTAAAAATTTTAGATATTTTTACATATGTTATATAATATTTTAGACATTTTTAATACTTTAAACATTCATTTTTTCAAATTCTTTTATACAAGATAATTATATATTGTTTACAACTCATATACGATAAATTATATTACATATTAAGTTCACATCTTTAATTTATAATTATTAGTTAATATTATTTAACCTCATCTTTAATTTATAATCATTACTAATATTGTTTATCCGTGCATCGCACGGGATATGCACTAGTTGGAGCTAGTGGGACAGCCCCACATGGAATTGTCTCATTGGCTGTTGGCTCCATAACGGAGCCAACAGTTGGCTCCTTAGCATTATTGTATAAATAACCAAGAAAACTTGAACCAAAAACAGAAAGGGTTAACATATAAATAACCTAATGTGCTTGGGTACCAGCGGCTCCAGCTGCTCTTTAGCGTAAATCTTTGCTTCTTCTGCCAATTTTAAGTCTTCAGGATCAACTGCCTCATAGGCAGGAGGTTCCAGAGGTTGGGTATCAACAATGATCTCCTTAAGCGCGACACAATTCTCCAACAAGTAGTTGACTAACTCATCATCACTTGGGCAACCATAATAACCTAAAAACCGAAAAACTTTCAAGTGTTGGTGCAGTGGAAACTGCTTAACTCCCTTCTGAATTTCTCTATTTGACCTTTCAGTATCAAACCATTGTTGCTGCAAATATAAGTGAAAATAAAATAAAGGTCATACATTAATTTAACATATAAAATTTAAGATAAAAAATACAAGCCATAAATTCATTCAATGATGACCAGTTTACAGGAGATTGTAGGGATAATATATACAAACATGTTTGGGATAGACCAACCTTTAACTCAAATTCTTGCAAGTTGGGAGACGCCATGATAAAATGAGCTAGGTCTAGAAGACTCCAGTCCACTCCACATAAAACTTTCATGAAGACCAACTTCCTAAGTTTAGGCATCACAGGGAAATTGAGCGTTGTTAGAAGCTCCTGCAATAACAATAAATAAAGATATCAACTGGTAAGTCATACATATACAGGCTCACTGGGCCTTCCTTTAATACCTTACTTTTTGAAAAATTATTCAACTTCTCGCAATTTCACAATTCCTGCTCAAACTTAAAATATATTTATGGATATTTGTAGCTTTTAATATCTTTCAAAAAAGAAAAATAGTCCCATTTCAGGTTCTAAACAAAAAGATTACATGACATGCCAAAAAATAGTTCAGTAAGAAACTATCGAAAGATTATCTCAAGTGGTGCACTTTTGGAAAAGTCCATATCTTAAATGGACTTACGGAAAATAGACTTCTCCAGAAGTCCTCATCCTTTACTTCTGTAGAATGGAATTTTTGGAAAAACAACTTATCCATAATTCCACTCTAAAATTAGCACCAAACATGAATACTTATCCAAATGGACTTTTGCATCAAAAAGGTCCATTTGAGAAATGTTTCCAAATAAGCTCTAAATAATTTAAAATATTGCTCTTATGCAAAAAAGGTTATTGGCAAATTTTACATAAACAAAATGCTAAGAAAGCATATGGAAAAAAAGTCACCAGAAGACATTTATTAAAAAATAAAAATGGACGCTGAAGTATTGAAATGCAAATTTAAAAGGACAGAAATTAGCCATGCTATATTTACTTTACCATCAATAGGCTCGCTTTAGTGAATAAACAAAATAAGAACGACAGCTTACCTTCCTATTAATAATGTTCAAGGTGAGAATCTCCAATTGGGAAAGACAGCAAAGCAGTGTGGGAACTAGCCTTTGTACATAGAAAGAATCAGGCCGAGAGTCTCCAAAGGTCACGTAAACGTCACGAAGCATTGGTACATCCTCAAGCAAGAGGCCTTCTATTTTATCAAGTATAAGCATAGTAAGATTTGGAGCAGAAATTCTTAAGGATTTCAAATAATTGCAGCTTGATATCTTCAAATGCTTTAACACAAGGGATGGTCCACAAACTTCAAGACTGGTCAATAATTCGGAGAAACAGACAACTAACTGCTCGAGTAATGGGCAGTAACGTAAGAAAAACTCGATAGCTTCACCAGAGACTTTAGTGCAGTCTAAGCACAACACTTTTAAGGTTTTATAGTTGAAAATTCTGCTATTTTCCTGTAACAACTCTTGAGGAAACACGTAAGTTTCATCTGATCCATGAACACAATCCCCATCTGAAAGGTTCAATTCCAACTTTTCGATGTGCCTCTCAAAAGCAAATTCAAGCCACTTCGTAATTGACGGTGATTTGATTAAACTAAAACATATTCTTAATTCTTTCAGGCTAAATCCTCTATGTGATTGGAGAACCGAATCCACCCACCTTACATACTTTTCCCTCTCTACAGAGCGAAAATTTGGGTCCTGGATAATCTTCTCCATGGAGCTATAGTCATCAAAGTTGAGATAAGAGATGTAACTCCACAAGTTTCTCCAGCGAGATGAAAGAACACATGTGCGGCCAGCTTCTTTCAATGGGAGGGAAGATAGGATAACAAGGAGAATGTCATCAGGCAACCGACTTATTAGATCATCACCATGGTATCTCTCAACACACTATCAAACAAACATGGCAATAACCCATTAATAATGCAATAATAAACAATTTGCATGTGGAACTCAGTAAAAAAACCATGTTCTTGCTTGTCAACTCTATAGNAAAAAAAAAAAAACTTTTTTATAGTCGAGATTACCAGGTCTACCACATGGAAAAACTATATACATAAAATAAATCTAATTTGATAAAGAAATCTAATTGATAATGCAAATTATGTAAAAAGAACTAGCAAATATGTATGAAAATATTTGAAGGTTATTTTCAAAAGGCTTCAGAGTTCAGACCAGAAAATAGATATTCGTAAGAGGAATGAAGGTTAGCCTGAAACATAGAGCATCTGCCAAAACAGTACTTAACATTGAAAGCAGAGACAGGATTTTCAAGTTGACAGACAATGACACTGTTGGTCAAACAAACACCGAAACAAGTTCATACACATTCACACTCTTCGTTAAACACAAATCACAACATAAATCTTATCAAGTTTCACTCTTTTTTGTTGCCGGATAGAAAATACGGTCTCACATTATTCATACAAAAAAATTTCACCTTTTTCAATCTCAACTCAAAATTTCACCCTTTTGGGTGACAAGAACAAAACAGAAGAGAAAGAATGATTTGCGACATCTATGAGAATCAACTGACAGTATGACTAAGAGAAAAACTGTCCTTTGTCTGTTTGGCCCGAAAGCAAACATCACATGACTTATTCGAAACAGAAGACTGAGAATCAATAAAAGACAAATGTGACAAAACACGATCCGATGGATGTCCCAACCGTTGATGCCATAAATCAGAAGAAACTTTCACTACTCGAGAAGACGCAACTGATACTGTCCCCCGGAAAAAATAGAGTCCCCCTATCTGCTCACCCGCTCCAGTCACCATCTTCGAAGTGCAATCCTGAACGACACAGAACTTGTTAGTAAAATGTGCGGTACAGCCAGACTTATCCAACAACTGGAACAAAGATATCAAACTACACTGTAAGCTGGGTACAAATAAGACATCATGTAAAACAATAGAGGACCCCAAATAAACAGTGCCCAATTTACTGGCTGATGTCAAGGATCCATTGGGTAACTGAACAGGACGAGCAGGTATGTCACGAACATCACACAAAAATTCTAAGAAACCGGTCATATGGTGAGAAGCACCACAATCATACATCCAATCATATAAACTTCGCTTACCAGATGACGACTTACTGTCCTGTTTAGCAGAGTTAACCAAATGAACAAGCTGAGTCCACTGTTCATCAGTCAATCCACTGATAACACGATCGGAGGAGCTAAGTCCGGCATTTGAGGAGGTCCCAACTTGCATGGCGGTGGCGGCAACGTTTGCTTGGGCAGGAGCACCCCCGCCACGACCGCCGCGGCCGCGCCTACCACCTCTGCGGCCAGCACCACCACGGGGGTACCAGTCGGGATAACCGAGAACCTCAAAACAGCTGGCCGCGAGATGTCCGCTTTTCCCGCAGTTGTAACAGACACGCTGCCGACCTCCGCCGCTGTTTGGAACACCGCCGCTGCCAGGGTGATCGGGCTTTGAGCCAGACATCTGTGGTGAGAAGCCCGTCACATGAGAAGAGACGTGACTGTCACGCCCTCCNTTTGGGACACACCGCGACATACTGAGTTTGAATTTTCTTACCCTATTTTAGTTTATTTGTTTATTGTGTGCTTTTCTCGTATTGGCTTGACCTCTTTGCATGATTATATTTGGTTCATTTTCTTTTCCTTTACTTATTGGGGGCGCAATGTGGACATTGCGTTATTTAAGTGTGGGGGAGGATTTTGAGTATCTTGCATTATCATGTGATGTTCGGTCTAGTTTAAGTTTTATCTGTTTTTCTTGTGTTCTGGTAAATGGACCGTCTAGGTGTTAGGTTTTTTTTGTGTGTTTGTGTCGATTCTCCCGTATAAAGTTTGATGCTTGATCAATAATGTTAGTCTTTTATTGGATAGACATGCTTAGTATGTTTTGAATTATTTCATATTATGCCTTGCAATGAATTGACCTCCTGTGATTTGAAGTTGATTGAAGATTTGACGATGTGGGACGCACAATCTAGAGTCACGACCTTGTTTTGTCCTTTGTAAGTCCCGATTGGTCGTTACTTTGAACTTGCCTTCTTTTAGGATTTTTATGTATACACTCATGTTTATGTATTATTCTCATGATATTTCAATGTTTCGTTTGCCCTCTTATAAAAAAAAAAAAAAAAAAAAAAAAAAAAAAAAAAAAAAAAAAAAAAAATATTATTATCCTGCTCTAGAACGAAAAAAAATATGAGCCTTCACCGGACATGGCCATGTCAGTAGAGAGGAGAACTAACGAAAAAAATATTGTCTCTGATACCATGACAAGAACAAAACAGAAGAGAAAGAATGATTTGCGACATCTAATCTGATGTCTTGCGGCTCGCCCTTCTCATATATATATAAATGTACAATTAGGTTTTACAATAACTTGGTCCTTAAGAAACTAAGATAATAAGGGTACAATAGAAAATATCTAATGCTAAATACTAAATACATCAACATTGGGTCTGAAAAATTTTACCTTTTTAATTCCGAACTTGGAAATAAGGTTGACACGCCTGCCAGCCATCAAAGCGAGCAACAATCTTTGGAGTTTGGACTGACCAAACGCAGATCTACAACAGATCAGGATATTTTATATAAATATGCATCAAATAAAGGAAAAGCTCTCTATTTAACAAGAGCATGTGAAGATTTACCTCCGAGCTGCAACAAAACCTGTACTCTTAGATCTGGAGATAAAGATAGGTTGGAGCTTGGATGTAACTTGTATGGAGATGAAGTGCGTGGACGTATTGGGCTGAAACCTGTAATCTTAGTTATGTCTTTGCCCCTTCAGGATAGGAATGGCAATTTGGGCCAGATCCGTTTTAGCCCAACCTGCCCTACACATGGCCACGCCCACTAGTTCAACATGAACCGGCCCGTTGACTACGGGCCTTGAACCAAGCTCGAAGTTTGTTAGGATTAGTTTCGTGCCACTTATATATATTTTTGTGAAACGTCCAGCCGGTTCAGGCCTTGCCCAGAACCGGCTGTGGAAGACCCACATTTGTTTAGAAAAAAAAATCGGGCCGGAACGAATTGGCTCGGATTACCTATTGGCCCAAATTAAATTTGGGTCGTTGGATATTCACCGGTAAATTATTTTTATTTTTATTTATTTATATATTCGGTTCCGTGTCTAGGTTCGGGTCCAAATCCGGTTCCGGTTCTCAACCGACCTGCACGGAGCCTTCAACGGCAAATTTTCAACACTATTGCGTATCTCGTGCGATGCACGGAGGACTTCATATTTGAAATATTTTTTTAGACTTTATTTTAAATATAATTGTTTATATTATCACATCTCATCTCATTATGGAACTAAAATAAATACAAACAATAAAAAACATATATTATTAAACACTTCACTTTACACAACATTTTTTATTTAAGAAATATTACTAATCCATGCAGTTTTGATTTTTTTTTAATTCAATTAACCAATCTATGATTTTAATGTACAAAAAATAATGAAAATAATTTAACTTTAAAGTATATATATATATATATATATATATATATATTTACAAATTATTTACAAATCAAAATCATCCAATTTTTTTTAAGCACTTTCATATCTCAATTTTGTATATTTCATACCAATTTATTCAATGACCAACTATTAGTCAAATTAGAGATTAAATTAGTGTGTACCTCGTGCGATGCACGGGAACAATATTAAATTAACAGTATTATAAATAGATCTCGAGTTTGAGTCACTGACGGAAGTGGAAACTACTATTGATCCTATTTAAAAAGAGAAAGAAAAAAATAATAATTATAAAGTAAAGAAGAGGATAAACAATACTTAATAATTATAAATTAAAGATTCGGGGTCAAACAATGTAAAACTATTTTGTATAAAAAAATATGAAATTTACATTATTTTGTATAAGAGAAGATAAAATTTGCATGTTTAATATTAAAAACACCTAAAATATTATATTAGTATATATGTAAAAGTATTCAAAATTTTCTATATTATTTTTGAAAGATGTGAAGGCATCTACAACTTTTCTAAACAATTTTAGAAGGAAAACATATCTAAGAACATTTGAATTTAACATTGTGTAAAAAAGATTTTTCTAGACTATTTTGTAAAGAAAATATGTCTATATTTAAATTTAATATGTGTATATGTACATATATATATATATATATATGCGTATGTTCTGTATAGTTTTTTAGAGATAATAATTGAACACGTATATTTGTTTTAGGAAATGAATAACAAACTTAATATCAGTTTTGAATAATGATAAGGTGTATGAAATATCTTCTCCTTATAATAAGATTTTGATTTTAATCTTAAAATTATCCCAGATATCTTCTCTTTATAATACGATTTTCTTCAATTTATCGTTAAAAAAGTATGTTTAAAAGGGTTACCATAAAAAAATATGTGATAAGAATGCTCGTGTGAAATGGGATTTTTTGGTTACAATAAAAAATTATGCGATAAGGACGGCGTGCGCAGGCGTGTGAATTGGGGTTATTTCATGAGAATTAAATCCATATAATTAATGAGTTTAAAAGGCATGTGAAAAGGACATAAATGGTGTGAAATGGACATAAGAGTTACCGGTTTTGGAAAATAATAAATGCAAAACTGACTTTGACCATTAATTAAGTTACTAATTTTGATAAATGTTAATTCTTATTATATAAGTATAGATTAGAAAATTAATCCAAATATTATCCTATATCATCTTTTTCTCTTTGTTATTTAATTTTTTTATCAAAAAATTAATAGAAAATCCTATTCTCATTATATATTTAATTAATATAAAATCAAATTCAATCTAATTAAATTAACAATTTAAAATAATTATAAAATAAAATTCAATATAAATAAAGTAACAAATTAGACAATATAACATTTGAAATTGGGTAGAAAATCTCAATTTACGTTATCTTATCAGAAATTTATAAACATATCAATTTTTGTTGATTCTGAAGAACATTATTAACGCAAACCAAACAACAAACCACGATAACCAACAAGCATCGAAAAACACCTCATAACATTGATTCATAACAAAAACATTAAAAATTCAATTTCCTAATTCCTCCATCTCCCACCATCTGAACCGCCACCGCCACTCGAATACCCGGAATAAATAAATAACATCATGTAACAAAGAATGAATGATAATTAGTAGATAAATGATTAATTAGTTAAAATATAATATTAATTATATTTAAAAAAAACCGGTTAGATAAAAGTGATTAAAAAAAATATTACATTAATTAGTTTGTTAGAAATGTGATTATATGAAAGTTAAGATAAAATAAAATGTACCCAAAAAAATCTGATTGAGATTTTTTCCTTTAAATATTTGAATGTAAGAATCTAATAACCAAACTTAGATTATATCACATGAGGAAAAAATAAATAACAAATATTTATTAATATATTTAAAAATATAATTTTGAATTTCAAATAAAGTAAAAGGCGGGATAATTCAAGTTTTATTTTTCAAAAAGTTTATAAAGTATTTAATATTTTGGTAAGTATATCCGTAAGAATAGTCTTACCATTTTAATTAAGTATATCCGTAAGAATAGTCTTACCATTTTAATTTCAAAAAATTTGGCAAGTTTGTTAATGAGGTAAATCCAGCTAGATAGATGATTAATTAGTTAAAATATTATATTAATTATATTTTAAAAATCCGATTAGATAACTATGTATAAAAAATATTATTTAATTAGTTTGTTAGGAATTTGATTATATGGAAGTTAAGATAAAATGAAATGTACCCAATAAATCTGCTTAATTTAAAAATATAATTACCAAATTTAAATTATATCTCATAAGTATAAAATAAAATAAACATTTATTAATATATTTAAAATATAATTTTGAATATTAAATAAAGTACAAGGCATAATAATTCAAATTTATTTTTTAAGTTTCCAAAATGTTTAATATTTTTATAAATATATCCGTAAGAATAATCGTTCCATTAATTTAATTTTAAAAAAGTCGACAAATTTGTTAATGAGATAAATCCGGTTAGATAAATGATTAATTAGATAAAATATTATATCTATTATATCTTAAAAATCCAATTAGATAATGTGGATTAAAAAAAATATTATATTAATTAGTTTGTTAGAATGTGATTATATGGAAGTTAAGATAAAATGGAATGTACCAAAAAAATCTGATTCGGATATTTTTTTTTTAAATATTTGAATTTAAATTTTTTCCAGATATATTTAAAAACAAATTTAGGTGGGATTTTTGAAAATTTGCAAAAAAAATCACCAAGTTTAGTAACTTTAAAAATTTTAGGCGGGATTTTAGTTATATTTCAAATAATTCCTATCTTTTTTTTTTATATATTAATAGATTCTTTCACTATTTTCTATTCATTTCTAATATCTATTTTTTTTTTTAAACTGAACGATAGGCAAACTCCAATAACCAAAGAAGGATTCAAAGTCCAAATATAACCGGGTAAAACACAAACAACCAAGGGCACAAACCAGGGAGAAGATACCTTAGTGCCCAAGTCGGGCGCGTGAGCTCTCCACCAGCGAGCGTGTGAGCTACCTCGGTTGTCAGAACTGTCGGAGCCATCGGGGTTGTCAGAGGTGGTTATGAGGCGTGGTCCACTCAGGTGGTGCCACGTGGTTTTACCCATGTGAGGGGTTTAATTTTCCTAAGATTCTTTCTTATCCTTAAGCTCTCCCCATTAAGTCGGGCGCGTGAACTCTCGAATGTCTTGTTGTCCCCAGAAAATTACTTATCATTTTGTTTCATGTGCTTTGACGTCAATTTTGATTTGCTTTTTGTTTAAAGCTGCTTATGTTCCTGAGGATAAATAGCTTGCATGACATACCTCCTTAGCTTAACCTATCATAAATCCGAACATGATGGCTTGAACAGTTCTGCTGACTTCCTATTTTCATTTTTCGACACTCTACTAATGTGTTGTGATTTTGAAACAAAATTGTTGCTTGAACAAAGTTGAAACTCTGTTCTCAATGCTGTCATCATGATTTCCTATTCAGTCATAGTGTCCCCTATAATTCTTTTTGTCATTTTGGATATAGGAGTTAGGAAGTGGGCTTTTTGTGTAGGGGATGTTCTGTGGAAATACTTTGATTCTTATTGCTTGGATGATGAAAAACCTCACAAGAGTAATGAAGACATGACTATGGGGGAGTTTGGTTTTGATGAACTTAACCTTGCTTGGGAATTGGGATGAAATTCTTTTGTCCCCAACTAGTAGTTCCCAGACAAGTCTTTTAGTTATTCAAGGAGAGTGCAATGCAAATCGAAATCAAAATGCACGTTTGAAATAGTTCATTATGTTTTATAGTTCACATGTGTGGCTCATCGTTTTTTTTGGTGTTACTAGCTTTCTCACTAGTTTTGCCTTTGTGCTTAAGACAGACCAATGTTAGCTCATGATTTTTTAATAATGTAGACAATGAGCAGATAATTGACGTGTCTCCGATTTGCAGGGGAAATCAAAATAGGTTGCATAACCTTTTATATGTTATTGGCCATGAAGTACCCAGTGTTAAAGCCTCATATCTCAGAACTTTCTCAGTCTATTGCGAAGGAGTTAGATGTTAATGCTTCTCAGGTAGGAATTTGTAGTATATAAAAGCTAAATTACTTTAAATTTTGTTTCAGTTGATATGGTTGTCGGCTGTGCTCCTTGCACGCCACCCCTCCGATTTTCAGGCTGCTACTCAGTTTTAAGATGAATTTTTGCAGGTCCAACTTATGAATGCTACTTCAAGAGATAATGATACGCT